GGCGTCGCCTGCAGGGCCGCATCCGGCCGAGCGCGTGCGACGGCCGCCCCGCCCCCAGGCGCCGCTGAGACATGCGGCCCCCACAGCCCCCGCCAACCGCGCGGCGCACGTGTGTCCTTTTGCCTCGTTTCTGTCGGCGTCTGTTGCGGCCGCGTCATCATGCGCCGCTCGGTGGCCCGCCCCAGACCTGAGCTATCCCTGGACTAGCGAAATGTGCATCCCGTTTCGCAGTCCGGGCGCGCCTCCAAGGAGCGGATACCTTTGCTCGGTGCACATACCCACTGCCGCAGCACAGCATGCGTTGGAGCCGTGCCTCGCCCGCAGACGCAGCCTCCGCCTCGCGCAAGGGGGCGCGCCGCCTTCCACACAGGTGCACACCTCCCGCAGGGCTTCAACCCCGTGTTGTGCAGGCGACGGCGCTGCGCGCTTGGCGTGGTCGATCAAGCATGCGAGCACGCCCTCATGAGCCGCGCGCCCCTGCACTGCCCGTTAAGAGGGCCACCCAAGCAGGGCCCTCCCTTGACCCAACTGTGTAGGGGTGCAGCGGCGCGTTTGTGCTCGGCCGGTGCGGCCAGGGCACAGGCCAGGCATGTGAAGGGACTGCCGAGATGGGCGGACGGCGCTGGAGACCGCTCCGGCCCCTGATTGTGCATCCGCACTCAGCCTTTGTTTGTGTGTGTCCCTACGGCAGTGAGAGAGGCCGGGCCCTTTCGCTTTCAAGGTGTGCCACAGACATAAGCGCGTGATCTGCGAGGCACTAATCAGGTGCCGGCGCGCGTACTCGCCGCCGTACCGCCGGTCCCAGGGCGCCCTCCATCATTCCCCCAGGTTGCTTGCGTGCTTGCTTGCTCGATTGATCGATCGATTGACCAGATGTCCCTTGAATTTATACATGTGCACAGGCACCGGCGAGCGCGGCGCCGCGACACTCGCGCCCGCGCGCAGGCCGACGCACCCGCGCCAGCGCGGCGGCGGGCCCTTCGCCGTCGGCGGGCGCGGCCCCGCTCACCCGCCGCCGCAGACGGCCACCGCGATCGCCACGCGCCACCTTGCACCTCTGAAGCATATCCCCGCCCGCCTCCCCGCAGCGTTTGCCTTTGATGAACCCCATCTGGCATGGCTGGGTGCACACCCCCTGGCTGCAATATGCCGGGGCGCAACAACACCCCGACCCGACAACCCCTGCTCGAACCAACGCCGCCACGGGCGCCCGCGCCCGCCATGTCATTGATTTTTGCATCCCCTTGGCGCTCATTCACCATCCCCTTGTCGCTTCTCGGGCCCGGCGGTGTAAATCCGTGCGTATCATCGACCGAAGAGGCGTGGCAGCGACTCCACGCATGACGTCAGACAACCTGGTCGGAGAGCAGCACGAGCAGCAGCATGTACTTTGTCTTGAACGCCTAACCTTGCCAATTATGCCAAAACTTGCATGGAATCACAACCTCTGGACTTCAGACAGCACACAGTTGGCTACCGCGCGGGCCGCCCCTCGGTCTCGCACTCTCTCGCACAGCCAGAGCCTGAGACAAAGCGAAGCGGCGGGCGCATTGCTTCTCGTGACGCTGCACCTGTCGCATCAAAGACATCGATAATATAACGGTTCTACCAAGTCCAAGATACATGCATGAAGCCGCGGCGCTGAACGACGCTCAAATGATCTAGCTTGTGCGTGTGCGACATTGCGCTGGCACCCCTGGCGTTTACAGGAACCAGGCAGCATGCCATGGCGCAGCCGTTCGGAGGACGCGGTGCCCTCGGCCCCGCCATTGCCCGACAGCTACACCGCACACAGCAGCAGCGGCCTAGACAGCAAGGCAGTGGTAGTCGAGGAGCCAGATGAACCTATATGCAGGCTCTGCTGGGGAGAGGCCGACGATTTGTTTGGTGGCGACCTGCTGTCTCCCTGCAGGTGCGGCGCGACCACGGTCGGAGCACCCCTGCCAGCACTGCTGTTGTGCACTGCTGTTGTGCACTGCTGTTGTGCACTGCTGTGGGGTTGCAGTGATTGCAGCGGCTTGCTGTTGGACTCCCCCCACCCTTCCACATCCTGGGGCGCAAACGCACAACGAGGCGTGCACGTGCACGGCCGAAAGGACTGCGCTCAGTTGCACTCGCAGCAATGGGTGAGTTGTGTCAGCAATACCCAACCCAGCCATTGCTGCGAATGCAACCAACCCACACCTCATCCATGCACAAACCGCACACCTTGACGTGTGCAGATGCAGCGGCTCCCTCAAATTCATCCACCGCCGATGCCTGCTGGACTGGCAGCGCACGCTGCGGGCCCAGGGCCTGGGGCGCCGCGCCGCCCACTGCGAGCTCTGTAAGGCACCATACGCCCCGCCCCCAGACACTGGCCGCCGCTGGCCGCGCGCGCGGCACACGCTGCCGCGGCAGCTGGTGGCGCACGCGCGCTTCGCGCTCGCGGACGCGTCGAGGGTGCGCTGCTGGCCGGCGCTGGCGCTGCGGGCGTGGCGGGCCTACGTCATGGCGAGCGGCGTGGTGAGTCGGGATGGAGCAGCAGCTTCTTCCCCAGATAGACGCAGGTGGCAGTGCCGGGGAAAAGAGTGCACGGTCAGGCTCATCCGGCTGGATGGGGCGTCCCCTGCCTTGCGCCAACCCGACATGAAGGGCTGGGATGTGTGGTGGCGGCTGCAACAGAAGGGCCCCACGGAAGGCTGCGGTCTTTCGTCGAGCGGTTGACCGCTGGTCGTGCGCACTCTTCTCGACCGTTCTCGGCCCATGCACCCCCGCCTCACCTGGGGTCGCCGTCTCCCCCATCTCCTCGTGCGCCCATCGGCCCCCCAAGGTCCGCGCTCTGCGCGTCGGCGCCACGGGGTTTGTGACGGGCATGTCTGTCGGCCGTGCCCTGATAGAGGAGCAGACCTCCCTGCTGAGCAGCGTGCTGTCGTCAATGAATGGCCTGCTGGGATCACCCTACGCGGAGCTGCTGTGGTGCCAGGTGAGCGGCCGTTGGTGGAGATGTGTGCATGCGCTAGGCGGGGAGGAGGCAACAGGGGGTTGAGGCGGCGTGCTTTACACCCGACGGCCTGGAGATTTCGGGGCTTCAGAGACGCGTGTCGCATGGTGGCATGATGATGAAAGGCGTTCATGTTGCTGACGCCGCTCGCGGCCCTCGCCCGCCCTTGCCCTGCCCAGGCGGTTGGGGCGCTGCTGGTGGGCATGGTGTCTGAGATTGTGTACTGCTCAGTGCTGGTGGGTGCTTCGCGGCCCCGTGAGGGAGCAGTCCGCATGGCTTCAAGCCGCCTGCATGCAACTGATGGGGCAGCGACGCGCGCAGCCGCAGTTGCAGCCCCACACGCGGAGCGGTCGAGCCCAGACCTAGGGGTCTTCCCCCCTACTTTTGCGGGTGTGTCCAGCCAGCGAACAATGGCAGGTCTGCTGCGCAGAAGGCCCCTGCAGCCGCTCTGACTCGGCAGGTGACTCCTGACCGCGCTGGGCGAATCGCCCCGATTGACTCCCCCGTATCTGCCAATCTTCCGTGCTGACAGGGCGGCCTGGGCGGCCTGGCCTACGGCTTTGCGACGGGCTACGTGTCCGCCATCCGCGGCAGCGCGCGCCTCGCCGGCCGCGCCGGGTTTGGGCTCGTGTCGGGCGCGGTCTGGCTCGCGTCGCGCGCGCTGCGGCGGGTCGCGACGGCGGTGCTGCGCGTGTGAGGGGGCGGCCGCTGCCCGGGTGGCCGTGTTTAGTGAGGGTCGCGTCATTTGCTTGGTTGTACCTGTATCACACACCTGCTGAATGAATCGCTCGCTCGCCAGTTTGTGGGCTACCGCGTGGCCCGCTGTGCGCGTCAGGCATGAGGGCAGCAAGTGTATGGCCGTCGTGTTGGTGCAGCTGCAGGCATGCGCTACGCCGTCCTTTGCAGCACTCGTTCAACGCCTCTTGCGCCGCAAGCATGCCTTCCTTCAGGGCAAGGCCCTGATGTTGCTGTTTGGCTTTGCAGGCATCACCATCGTTTTTGAGCTTGCGTGCGCGCGCAAACCGTAGCTCGAACCGCCTCCCGGCCCAGCTGGCAGGGGTGGGGGCGCACGTGCTGCACGGCACCCACGGCGTGTTTCAACCTCCAAATGCACCGCGCTACTGCGCTTCTCATCATCACATTGATCACTGCCATTCCACGACGCGTGTCTCGCCCGCCCATGCGCTCACAAGTCCCTGCTGTTTGCTGCGGAGGCTGGTAGCAAATTCAGGGCTGGCCCCACTTTTTATCATGTACAGTTTTTGGTGTTATGCCTTCAAAAGTAATGACCCCGCCCTCCGAGTGCCACCGAGGACAGAGGACCGCAAGAACCAAGGCAGGAGCCGAGTTGCCGACCCAGGACATGAGGCAGCTGAAGGTCTTATGGGGTTATCACCACCTGACAGGGCATGCGCAGCCTGGTGCACTAATTTAGCTTATGCTGCCTGCTCTATACTCAGTTGGGAGCTTTCAGGACGCAAGGGCGGCGCGCACACCGACATGCGTCGCTGAGGGCTGCTGCTGCTGCTGCTGCTGCCATGTGCACGTTGTGGCTGCCAACAGAGCTCCCTGAGCGCACCCACATGCTTCGATGATGATGCGACCTTACACTGCTGTTGAAACAGAGCGCAACCATAAGAGCAAGATGAAGGTTGCGCACGCATCCAACGCAGGCAGGAGCATGCAGGATGCATGCGCCTTCAACACGCGTGTGAAGCCCTGCGTACTCATATATATGCGCACGCACATATGCGCACACATGCGCGCGTGCGCGCACGCACGCGCACACACACTCTCATACAATATACACACCGCGCGCGTGATCGAAAAGGGCAACCATGCACACCCTTGAGTTGAGTTTGTCAAAACAAGATTGGAAGGTTGGGTTGCCACAGAGTTGCCGGTTGAGTTGCTATGAAGTCGCCGGTTGGTTTGAATGCCCCACAGGTTGCGTGGACGAGTCGCATCCCAGTTATGGGACTGCGCGTGCCAACGGAGCCGCGCATCGCTCGGGTTGCGTTCAAGGAGGCTACTCGACAGCTTCGCAGCTGAAGCGCAGCAGCCTGGGCAGCTGTGTGTGCAGCAGAGCCTGTTGCGACGGCAGGGTTGTTGGTCTGGCGTGGGCTCTGCTGAAATCCGAGTGCCTCAGGCGTATCGAGATCAGCGCTCTCAACAAACAAATGAAGATGTGACAAAGCGTACCAGACCAAAAAGTAAGGCGTGACTGAAATTGAGAGCTGCCAACTGCGGCGCTGACCATAAAAAACCACAGCACCACACGCGCCGCAGCCGCCCCAAAGGCGAGCGCGTGCAGCGCCTGTAACACGCGGCGGAGTGAGGGGCGGCTCCAATCCGCCCGGGCGTCCAGGCGATCCCCTGAATCAGACAGCCTCGGCCCCTGCGGCCGCCGAGGGCCTGACTTGGACAATGACTTCGCCCGCCCTGCCGCAGTGGGGGCAGGCGCAGGCGTCGGCCGACGGCTTGACAGGCTGCGCTGCAGCCTGCGCCGCCTCTGATGCATCTGACCCGTCGTCGCTGCCGGCGCGGGCGCCCTCGGGCGCGGCGCGGCGCCCCAGGCGTGTGTGGTCAAAGATGAGCTTCAGGGTGATGATGATGATGCAGCCAAAAATCTCGAATACCAGGGGGATCCTGGGTTCGATGACAAGACAGGAAGGTGCGTCAACGACCGGGGGAAACGCGTTTGCCCTGAACCGCCGCAGCATGCAGGGCGCGGCACCCCGGTGCCGTCGGGCGTTGCTGTGCTGGGGGCGTGGGAGCTCGGGAGGGGTGCGAGCCGGGCGGCAGGGGGCGGCGGGGGTGTCTCACCAGGCTGCCATAGCATTTGCGTGGACCAGGTAGACG